ATTGTAAACATTAGCCAATAAGTTGTCTTTACGTGTCCTCATGCGCGTTCTCATGCAAACTACCTTAGTATTTTCTAGTTTTCCTTACTCCTTGGAACTCCATCTCAAACAACATTAGATATCAATGATATGATCGTATTCTTTTTAACAAGTTTTTTTTTGTTAGCACTCTAGTCTAAATTTTAGATTGGGGATTTTACTTCTTCTTTTTTTTTTTTTTAAATGAAAAATTTGTATGGTGATATACTGATATACTTGGGTTTGTACAAATCGTACACTGTTTTAGAATAGTGACTTTTTCCTTCTATAATTCACGCATACTCTTAGAATTAATTATAAGCTGATGACACAAGAACACTAATACAAACACTATATTATAAATTTCGATAAGAATGGTACATGTATGTTTAGTTATTTAATCATTCATAAATTAAATGGTTTTTTTGTCAGTAAAATATCAAAGTCAAGTATTTTTTTTTTTTTTGTTTAATGATATATTTCATTCCATTTCTACCCTTTTTTTTAAGTGTAATACTACTTTTTGTATATGCAAACATTGATTTTCATTAAGTTAAACCGTTGCATGGCTAAAATGGAATGTAATACTACTATAATATCGATGAAAACCGTATATTAGCCGACTAACATCCAAACTATTCCAGACCTAACTTTTGATGCATATGATTTGGATAACAGTAATTAGTTGGACTCTTAAGACATTTGTTGAATTGTGTGGTTTTGTTGGGCATGACAATTTTTTTTGTCAGTGGCATAACAAATTTTAGGTGTAACTTTATTATTCTACCTGAAAATATAGACTTCAAATAGATTGAATTATGTCATATGTAATAATGCTTTTAAATCATCACTTTTTTTTTCCCAGAGTAATCCTAAGCAAAACCTAAACTAATCCCCAAGATCCATGAAAACATGTTTTGCAGGCATAGATCGAGTTCGATCCAAAAAATTCAAAACCTAAACTGATTCCCAAGTAAATGAACAAAACCTATATCACCATCAATCTATTAAATCCTCTGCCAACAAACTCACTTAGTGTTATTTGTTAGATCCGACTATACATGACTTGGTTAAAAATGAAAATCTTCAAAACCAAGATTTTTAAAGATAAGTACCATATTTAGCACTAACTGGTAACAAAGGATTTGTGGAATTCAGCAGAATATTGGCTGGAAAAAAAAAATGGTTACGATGATAATTCAAAATAATTTATTAAATATATATAAAGTTTTTCTTTTTTTTGTCACAAAAATATATAAAAGTTTATAATTACATAACCAAGTAAATACGTAGATTGTTTCGTGTTCCATACTTAACAATCACACCTGAAATAGATATTTACTTAACAATTATGGATGAATTACAAGAAAACATGACGACTTATAACTTTAGAACCGTAAACTACCCTAGATGAGCAACTCATTATATATATATATATACTTAATAAAGTTTTAGTTTAAATTATAATTTAATATCTTCAAACAAATTTTGTAAAATTTTTATTTTATTTTTGTCAACCAAACTTTTAATTAAAATATATCACCATAATTGGTGATCCAATTAGGTGGAGAGTTAAAAAAATCAAGAGTTTTAGAACGTGCAGTTTGTGACAATATTATACATTAAAATATTAATAAAAA